ATGATGATGATGATGATGATGATGATGATGCTGATGATGATGGTGCTGATGATAGTGCCGATGATGCTGCTGATGATGATGAGGATGATGAGGAGGAGGAGGAGGACGAGGAGGAAAGGAGGAGGAGGATGAGGATGCTGCTGCTGATGATAATATGATGGGGTGGAGAAGGAGGAGGAGGAGGAAATGAGGAGGATGAGGACGAGGATGATGATGCTGGAGGTGGAGGAGGAGAAGGAGGAGGAAGAGGAAAGGAGTATGAGGATGAGGAGGAGGATACGGAGGAGGAAAGGAGGAGGAGGAGGAGGAGGAGGAGGAGGAGGAGGAGGATAACGAGGAGGGAGATGGGCAAAGGGGGGAAGGGCAAGCAGGGTGCGCTCGCGCCATACCTGGCATGCTGCTCCTCCCACCCGTCCCTTCCCTTCGGGCTGTTTTTTCCCTCTGTCCACGCACGCGTGTCACAGCGGACCCTGGACTCCAGAAAACGTCCCCACCGTGTGATGTGCAATAGGACAGAGGAGCTGTGCACATAGGAGGATGAGGGTGATGCTGATGATGATGATGATGACGATGATGATGATGATGATGATGATGATGATGATGATGATGATGATGATGATGATGATGATGATGATGATGCTGAGGATGCTGATGATGCTGATGATGAGGATGTGGATGCTGATGATGTTTATGATGCTGATGATGCTGATGCTGGTGTTGATGCTGACGGTGATGATGATGATGCTCATGAGCATGATGACGCTAAAAATGGTGATACCTATGATCATGATGATGATGATGCTGATGATGATGATGATGATGATGATGATGATGATGATGATGATGATGATGATGATGATGATGATGATGCTGATGGTGATGATGGAGGTGAGGATGAGGATGATGATGATGATGATGATGATGCATGATGATGATGATGATGATGATGATGATGATGATGATGATGATGATGATGATGATGCTGATGATGATGATGCTGCTGAGGTGATGATGCTGATTACGATGATGCTGCTGCTGATGATGATGATGCTGATGATGCTGCTGATGATGACGATGCTGATTCTGATGATGATGATGAGGAGGAGGAGGAGGAGGAGGAGGAGGAGGAGGAGGAGGAGGAGGGAGGAGGAGGTGGAGGACAATGAGGACAGGAGAAAGGGAGAGGAGGGGAGAGGAGGAGGAGGAGGAGGAGGAGGAGGAGGAGGAGGAGAGGATGGGAAGGAGGAGGAGGAGGAGGAGCAGGAGGAGGAGGAGGAGGAGAAACGACGAGGGAAGTGCAAACCGGGTGCGCTCGCGCCATGTCGGGCATGCTGCCCTTCGGGCTGTTTTTTCTCCCTTTCCACGCACGCGTGTCACAGCGGACCCTGGACTCCAGAAAACGTCCCCACCGTTTTGTGTGGAATAGGATAGAGGAGCGGTGCACATAGGAGGATGAGGGTGATGATGATGATGATGATGCGGAGGAGGAGGAGGAGGAGGAGGAGGAGGAGGAGGAGGAGGGGAGGGGAGGAAGAGGGAGGAGGAGGTGGGGTGAGAAGGAAGAGGAGGAAGAGGAGGATGAGGATGGAGTAGGGGGGAGGAGGAGGAGGAGGAGGAGGCGGAGAGGAGGAGGCGGAGGAGGAGGAGGAGGAGGGAAAAGGAGGAGGAGGAAAGGGAGGGTAGGTGTGGAGGGAAGGAGGAGGAGGAGGAGGAGGAGGAGGAGGAGGATGAGGAGGAGGAGGAGGAGGAGGAGGAGGAGGAGGAGGATGAGAAACGAGGAGGGAGATGGGCAAGGGGGGAAGGGCAAGCTGGGTGCGCTCGCGCCATATCTGGCATGCTGCTCCTCCCACCCGTCCCTTCCCTTGGGGCTGTTTTTTCTCCCTGTCCCCGCACGCGTGTCACAGCGGACCCTGGACTCCAGAAAACGTCCCCACCATGTTATGTCCAGTCGAGAAGGAGCTGTGCACATAGGAGGATGAGGGTGATGATGCTGATGATGATGATGATGATGATGATGATGATGATGATGATGATGATGATGATGATGATGATGGTGTGAGATGATGGTGGTGATGATGAGGAGGAGGTGGAGGAGGAGAGGAGGAGGTGGCGGATGAGCGGGAGGATGAACATGAGGAAAAGGAGAAAGGAGGAGGAGGATGAGGATGATGATGACTATGATGATTGTAGTGGCCTCCGGCCAGTGCCGCCGGTCCGGGGCGCTCCTGATGCTATTGTTGTTGAAATGGACGATGACGACGACAACGAACGACCAACGGTCGACGAGCGGGATAATTACGACGACGACCGACGAAGGAGTTAATGACGACGAACGACGACCGACGACGACGACGACGACGACGACGACGACGACGACGACGACGACGACGACGACGACGACGACGACGACGACGACGACGACGACGACGACGACGACGACGACGACGACGACGACGACGACGACGACGACTGACGGCGAACGGCTGCCGACGGCCGACGACCGACGACTGGTGACGGCGACGGGTGGAAGGTTCTTCGTTCATCGCTTTCGCTTCCGAGCAATACCAAGTCAGGCCGTGCACCTCTGGCCTGGCAGCACGCGAGTGAGCGCCTCTTGGGGCCTCTTGGTTCTTGGGGCTTCGCCTCTTGGGGACCTCTTGGGGGCCTCTGGGGGCCCCTTGGGGGCGCCTCGGGGGCATCTTGGGGGCTCTTGGGGTCTTCTTGGGGTGGAGGACTAGAAGGGTCCCTTCGGGTTCACCCTCTTGAGGCCATCTTGGGGGCCTCTCGGGGTCGTCTTGGGGTGCCTCCAGGGCTATATTGGGGCCCTCTTGGACCCTCTTGGCTCCTCTTGGGGGCCTCTTGGGCTGTCTTGGGGCGATCTTGGGGGCCTCTTGGACCGTCTTCGGCGCTTCTAAGACGGGAAAGGCGATAATGTTAAAATGCTTCAAAACCTATTAACAACTTTATTATTGTACCCTCTTGGGGCCCTCTTAGGGGTCCTCTTGGGATCTCCTTGAGGCGTCTTGGAGGCCTCTTGGGCCGTCTTCAGGCCATCTTGGGCGTCCAGGAGCGCTCTTGGGCCGTTTCGGGCGCCTCCTGGACCGTCTTGGTGGCCTCCTGGGCCCCTTTTGGCCCGTCTTGGGGCGGTTTGGGATTCCGGAGGGGGGGGGAAAGAAAGCGTGGACCCGATGACCCCCCCCTCCCCCCTCCCCCCCCTGCCCCGGCAGAGCCCCCCGGCCCCCCCCCAGCAGAGCTGAAGCTCAGGTTGTAGCTTTCTTAAACTCACACGCCGGATCGGCGGATTATGATGATGCTGACGATGATGATGCTGATGATGATGGTGATGATGGTGATGATGGTGATGATGGTGATGGTGAGGAGGAGGAGGAGGAGGAGGAGGAGCAGGAGGAGGAGGATGAGGAGGAGGAGGAGGGGTAGTTGGAGGAAAGGAGGAGGAGAAGGAGGAGGAGGAGGAGGAAGAGGAGGAGGAGGAGGAGGAGGAGGAAAGGAGGAGAAACGAGGAGTGAGACAGGCAAGGGGGGAAGGGCAAGCTGGGTGCGCTCGCGCCATGTCTGGCATGCTGCCCCTCTCACCCGTCCCTTTCCTTCGGGCTGTTTTTTCTCCCTGTCCCCGTACGCGTGTCACAGCGGACCCTGGACTCCAGAAAACGTCCCGACCGTATTATGTGCAATCGGGAAGAGAAGCTGTGTACATAGGAGGATGAGGGTGATGCTGATGATGCTGCTGATGATGGTGATGATGCTGCTGATGATGATGTTGATGATGAGTGTGATGGTGATGGTGATGGTGATGGTGATGCTGATGATGCTGCTGCTGCTGCTGATGATGATGATGGTGGTGGTGGTGGTGGTGATGATGATGATGATGATGATGATGGTATGGTGATTGTGCTGATGCTGGTGCTACAGGTTCTGATGATGATGATGGTGGTGGTGGTGATGATGCTGCTGATGATGATGAGGAGGAGGAGGTGGCGGATGAGCGGCAGCATGAGCAGGACGAAAAGGAGGAGGAGGAGGAGGAGGACAGAGGAGGATGAGAACGAACACCAGCAGCATGACCTGGAGCGGAAGGATCGGAATGAACAGGAGGACCAGGAGAAGGTGGAGGAGGGGAAAGGAGGAGGACGACAACGATGAAGAAAGACTCGGATCCAGCAAAGCGGCCCGCGCTAAGGCGAGAGCGCCATTCTGAACGACGGGAGCAAATCCGCGATCCTTCAATAAGGCCCACGCTGCAGCGGAAGCACCATGGATTGAGAACGTTCGGATCGGAAAACGCACACATACGGAAAATCAGCTCGGCACCATCGAGTGTGACTACGCGGAGGGATCGCGCTACTCCCCGACAATCTTCGGGGGAGAGGGGAGGGGAGGCTTCATATGGAGTAATGGTGGAAGATCGGTAACCGTGTACACCCATCCCAATTTCGTAACATGTTTATTAAGCATCAGCGTTCATGGACTACACATTTCGCCAAGAAAATCTAGAATCCCGACTGGGCCCTGGTCGTTTTCTTGGGGCTGCCTTCTTTTTCCGTGGAGTGTTCGTATGTGTGGACCTGGGCTGCTGGTTGAGAACACGCTCCGGGTGAAGTCCGTTCTCTCAGCCTGCAGAGTTTCCCTAGCTCCGAGCAGGGGTGCATGTCTGGGAAGGGGGGGCAGCCGATGGGGGGCGAGCGGAGAGGGGGAGGCAGAAGCCGCTCCGTCTGCCGACTCGAGTTTCGGCTCGATGCCCGACTTCGACTTCCGCCTCCGTCTTCGTCGTTCTCCCTGTGTGGGCCGCGGCTCGGGCCGGCGCCTCGTCGATTTCGATGCCTTCCGACCTGCCTGCCGATGTCTGCCGATTCGACGTTTTGCGGTGGCCCGTTCGACTTTCCGACGCGATCTGGGTCTCTCCTGTAGAGGTGGAGGTGAGGGGGAGAGGGATGAGTGTGGTCGGAGTGGACGGGAGGGAGAACAGCCGCTTTTGCGCTCTCTGGTTCGAGTGCAGTTCCTGCGCGTGTCGGTCCGCCATGGGAGCTGGCTCCAGCGTTGCGGCCAAGCATGAGAAAGCAGCCAACCCAGAGGTTGTGGGCGCGAATGCTGATGGTGATGGGACCAGTGCCGCTGCGGCTAAGGACACGGGCTCAGAGAGCAAGGCTCTGAGTGCACACCTGGAAAAGCTGCTGAAGTTCAGAGACACTTGGCAGGCAGGCCGACACACATTCTACAGCTGGCATTCTCAGACAGTTGAAGACGCTCTAGAGCCCGAGCTCGAGATCGTGGACTCCCACCACCATCTATGGGATATGCGCGAACTGCAGGGGTACAACCTGTTCGGCCTATTCAAGCAGCAATACTACATGACAGACGAGTTGGTGGAAGAGATCCTCGGTTCAGGGCACAATGTGACACACACAGTTTACATCGAGGCTCATTCATTTCACAGCGTGAATGTCGACGCCGTCATGAAACCGCTGGGGGAAGTTCGAATGGCACAAGGCGTTGCTGCGCAGTTCGCCTCGGGAAAATACGGGTCAACACGCGCAGTAGGTGGCATTGTAGGCACCGCAGATCTTTTGAAGCACGGGGTGGGTGTGGAGCCCTTACTGGCAGCGTGCAAATCAACTTGTTCCAATTACCGTGGAATCAGGGTGTCTGGCCATTTTGATGGAAAAGTGACTGACGGCTTCCGAGTCGGTGAACCTGGAATTTACGGTCAGCCCAAGTTTCGGGAAGGGTTCGCGCTGCTTGAGAAGTTCGATCTGGTGTTTGATGCATTTGTGTTTGCGTCACAGCTGCAGGAGCTGCACGCCCTTGCGACAGCATTTCCAGGCATTACCATTGTAATGGACCACATGGGTGCCCCACCAGCGGCGCTGGGCAATTATGAAAAGGCAACCGGGTACAATGACAAGCAGGAAGATATTCTAGCTCAGTGGAAGCGTGACATGACGCGAATTGCAAAGGAGTGTCCCAATGTAAACGTGAAGGTCGGTGGATTCATTCCTCAGTTGGGTCACGGTTTTGATGGGCGCGCGAAACCACCATCTTCGGAAGAAGTTGCTGCCGTAATCGGCGACATGTGTTTGTGTACCATTCGCGCTTTTGGATGTGGCCGTTGCATGCTCGAAAGCAATTTTCCGGTGGACAAATGCGGTGTGTCCTATACTGTGTTATGGAATGCATTCAAACGCATCACGAAAGTTGCGGGTTTTTCTGATGATGAACGAAAGCTGCTGTTCAGCGGAACCGCAAAGCGTGTGTACCGTTTGTAGTTCATTCTGTGCGCTGCTTCCGTTCGGACGTCACTCAAGGAACGTATATGGTGTATTCGTGATGCATGGCCTGCCTCCGTGTAGAGAGACTCTTTGGGCATATGGGAGGAGACGTGACGTACAACCTAGATTTTGCTACGGAGGAGGACGACAAGGAGCAGAGGAAGGAGTAGGGGTCCCAGCGGATTCATATGATTAGGGGAGGTATGGCGCAGATTTCGGCGGCACGCCCGGGTGCCCGGGTGCCCAGGTGCCCCGGTGCTCAGTAGCCCTATAGCCTTATGGCTCTATAGCCCTAGAGCCTTCTAGCCTTATAGCCCTGTAGCCCTGTAGCCCTATAGCCCCATAGCCCTATAGCCCTATAGCCCTAATAGCCCTATAGCCCTATAGCCCTATAGGCCTATAGCCCTATAGCCTTACAGCCCCATAGCCATATAGCCCTATAGCCTTATAGCCCTATAGCCCTATAGCCCCATAGCCCTTTAGCCCTACAGCCCTATAGCCCTATAGCCCTACAGCCCTATAGCCCTATAGCCCTATAGCCCCAGAGCCTTATAGCCTTATAGCCCTATAGACCTATAGCCCTATCGCCCTATAGCCCTAATGATTTTATACAGTGTTTTTTTTCTCCGGTATCATGGTGTATTAGTGATGCATGGCCTGCCTCCGTGTAGACAGACTGATTTTGGCATATGTGAAGGGAAGTGCCATACACACTAGATTTTGCTACGGAGGAGGAAGACGATGAGCAGAGGAAGGAGGAGGAGGAGGAGGAGGAAGAGGAGATGAAAGAGGTGGCAGTTGTGGAGGAGGAAGTAGAGAAGGGGGACTGAGGACGATGGCCATGTGCCTTACCTTACCCTTGGCGAGGCGATCTGGTACTGCACCGTCGATACTAGCCAGCATCAGAACGTAAGCCTGCATGCCTCTAGCACGTTTCTCCTTTCCGAACCAATACCAGGAGGCTGGGTGCGCGTGACGCGGCTGGCTGGGACGGAGCTGGATGTGGCCGCGTGTCTTTCCAGCGTTCCGCCCTCCTATGACCGTGTGTAGGCCTGACTTCCGCGCGTGTAGTTATCTATCGCGTCGCCTCGGGATATTCCCATGTGAATCCAGCCACGTGTGTTACCAGCTTCTTGGTACTACTATGAGCCATGCTTTCCGAGGCCTTCCGCTGTGAAATGCGTCCACGAGATGCTGTATTACACGCACGTGTATGCATACATTCTATATGCGCACATCTAGTGGCTTTCGACCCATCCCGCCACTGCGCCTAGTTTGTAGGTCAGATGCCTCTGGGATGCCTATTGGTATCTCTTGGGATCCCTCTCGGAACCCTCTCGGATTCGGTTTTGGGGTGTCTTGGGGGCCTCTCGAGGGTCTCTTGGGGACCTCTCGGGGCCTGACTTGGGCCTCTTGGGGCCTCCTGGAGCATGTGGGGGGCCCTTTGGGGTCCTGCTGTCGGTCTCGGGGGCCATATTTGGGCGACAGGCTCGGGATGTCGGTTCGTGTTCCCCCTCTGGGCCGCTTTTGGGCCCCTCTTGGAGCTCCATTGGGCTGTCTTGGGTTCCTTTCGGGCCGCCTTGGCGCCATCTTGGGCCGCTTGGGGGCGCTCTTGGGGGCCTCTTGGTCGGGGCGATCTTGGGGGCCTTTTGGGCCGCCTTGGGGCGTCGAGAGCCAGGATCCTCGCCCTCCCCCCGCCTGCACCTTCTGGAAGGAGGAGGCGGGGGGAGGGCCAGGATGGGGTTCCCCTCCTCGTCGTCCTGTCTCCCTCTCCTTTCTCGCCGTTTCGGTTCAGGGCTGCGCTCCCTGTGTCCCCCGTCCCCCTTTCCCCTCCTTCTCTCCATCGCCTTCCGCCCTGGTGGCAGCGCCTGCGTCTGTTCACCATCTGCTTCGGAATGCGCTCCCCCCCCCCTGTGGTGCCTGCATAGCTCCGAGGTGTGGCGGATGAGCTCTTTCCTCGAGGAAGGGGACGGCATGTAACACTATGACGGGGAGAAGGGATAGAATGGGGAGGAGGGCGACGATGACGACGACGATGACGAGGACGATTACGATGATTGTGATGGTGGTGGTGCTGATGTTGAGGATTTTGATGTCGATGATGTTTTTGCTGTAGTAGTAGTAGTAGTAGTAGTAGTAGTAGTAGTAGTAGTAGTAGTAGTAGTAGTAGTAGTAGTAGTAGTAGTAGTAGTAGTAGTAGTAGTAGTAGTAGTAGTAGTAGTAGTAGTAGTAGTAGTAGTAGTAGTAGTAGTAGTAGTAGTAGTAGTAGTAGTAGTAGTAGTAGTAGTAGTAGTAGTAGTAGTAGTAGTAGTAGTAGTAGTAGTAGTAGTAGTAGTAGTAGTAGTAGTAGTAGTAGTAGTAGTAGTAGTAGTAGTAGTAGTAGTAGTAGTAGTAGTAGTAGTAGTAGTAGTAGTAGTAGTAGTAGTAGTATTAGCAGCAGTAGTAGTAGTAGTAGTAGTAGTAGTAGTAGTCGTCGTAATAGTAATAGTAACCGTAGTAGTAATATTAGTCGTAGTAGTAGTCGTAGTAGTAGTAGTAGTCGTCGTAGTAGTAGTAGTAGTAGTAGTAGTAGTAGTAGTAGTAGTAGTAGTGGTGGTGGTGGTGGTGGTAGTAGTCATAGTATATGTAGTAGTAGTAGTAGTAGTAGTAGTAGTAGTAGTAGTAGTCGTAGTAGTAGTAGTAGTAGTAGTAGTCGTAGTAGTAGTAGCAGCAGTCGTAGTAGCCGTAGTAGCCGTAGCAGCAGCAGCAGCAGTAGTAGTAGTAGTAGTAGTAGTAGTAGTAGTAGTAGTAGTAGTAGTGGTAGTAGTTGTCTTATTATTAGTATTCGTCGTCGTAGTAGTAGTAGTAGTAGTAGTAGTAGTAGTAGTAGTACTTGTTGTAGTAGTAGTCGTAGTGGTAGTAGTGGTAGTAGTGGTAGTCGTAGGAGTACTAGTAGTAGTAGTAGTAGTAGTAGTAGTAGTAGTAGTAGTAGTAGTGGTAGTGGTAGTAGTCGTATCAGTAGTAGTCGTGTTATTTGTATTAGTAGTCGTAGTCGTAGTCGTAGTCGTAGTCGCAGTGGTAGTGGTAGTGGTAGTAGTAGTAGTAGTAGTAGTAGTAGTAGTAGTAGTAGTAGTAGTAGTAGTAGTAGTAGTAGTAGTAGTAGTAGTAGTAGTAGTAGTAGTAGTAGTAGTAGTAGTAGTAGTAGTAGTAGTAGTAGTAGTAGTAGTAGTAGTAGTAGTCGTAGTAGTAGTAGTAGTAGTAGTAGTAGTAGTAGTAGTAGTAGTAGTAGTATAGTAGTAGAAGTAGTAGTAGTAGTAGTAGTAGTCGTAGTATCAGTAGTAGTAGTAGTAGTAGTAGTAGTAGTAGTAGTAGTGTAGTAGTAGTTAGTAATAGTAGTAGTAGTAGTAGTAGTAGTAGTATAGTAGTAGTAGTAGTAGTAGTAGTAGTAGTAGTAGTTGTAGTCGTTGTAGTAGCCGTAGCAGTCGTAGTAGTCGTAGTAGTCGTAGTAGGCGTAGTAGGCGTAGTAGTCGTAGTAGCCGTAGTAGCCGTAGTAGTAGTAGTAGTAGTAGTAGTAGTAGTAGTAGTAGTAGTAGTAGTAGTGGTAGTAGTAGTAGTAGTCGTCGTAGTATTGGCTGATGCTGATGCTGATTCTAATGCTGATGCTGATGCTGATGGTGGTGGTGGTGGGGTTGATGATTCTGCTGATGGTGGTGGTGTTGGTGGTGGTGATGGTGACTGTGATGGTGGTGGTGATAGTGATGGTGCTGATGCTGATGATGCTGATGATGCTGATGATGACGTTTATAATGATGCTGCTGCTGATGGTGATGATTCTGATGCGGATGATGATGATGCTGCCGATGAAGATGCTGATTATGATGCTGCTGCTGATGATGATGCTGATGATGATGATGCTGATTATGCTGATGCTGGTGATGCTGCTGCTGCTGATGATGATGATGCTGATGCTGCTGATGATGATGATGATGATGATGATGATAATGATGATGCTGATGCTGATGATGATGATGATGTTGATGATGATGATGCTGATGCTGATGCTGATGCTGATGCTGATGATGATGATGATGATGATGATGATGATGATGATGAGGATGAGGATGAGGATGAGGATGAGGATGATGATGATGATGATGATGATGAGATGATGATGATGATGATGATGATGATGATGATGATGATGATGATGATGATGATGATGATGATGATGATGATGATGATGATGATGATGATGATGATGGAGGAGGAGGAGGAGGAGAGGAGGAGGAGGGGAGGAGGAGGAGGAGGAGGAGGAGGAGGAGGACGAGGAGGAGGCGGAGGAGGAGGAGGAGGAGGAGGAGGAGGAGGAAGATGACGAGCACGAACACCATATGAGAAACAGGGGGTAGGGAGGAGGAGAGGGTCTTTGGGCGTGGGAGAGGTGTGCGCAGAGGTACTGTTTTGCACGCCTTGTGTCGGGATACCCTGGTTTCCACCATCCTCGCCCCACTTCCTCTCCCTCCTCGTGGGGCAGGAGGCCAGGCATCGCGCCAGCGCACCTGGCCTGTCTTCCCTTTCTCTCTCTCTCTCTCTTTCTCCCCCTCCCTTCCTCCCTCCCTCCCTCCTCCCCCCCCTCTCCGTTCTAGAGCCCTTGGGCGATGGCGCTGCGCAGAGGCAGCTCAGGCAGCTCGTGGCGGCTCGTGCAGCTGGTCGTCGTCCTCGGGTGCACCGCGCTGCTCGCATGCTGGCAGGTGTCCGCTCGTCGTCGCCGTCGGCTCAGCTCGTCGTCGCCGTCGCCCTCAGTGTGTGCGAAGACCGCCCATATCACCTTTCTACCCATCTATCCTGCTATCCTGTTGGCTCAAGGTATTGGGGACTGGACAGTCCTTTCAGATAGGGCTCGCGCCGCTCGCCCGCGGGGCATGGGAAAAGAGATCTCTCCCCTCTCCCAAATCGTCCTCTACCAGCGGGCATCCCAGTAGGTTCGACTCTTCGGTCGTGAACCTGCATCCGCACTCAGCTGCACTGCCCTCAGCTCAGCTCGTCGTCGTCGTCGCCCTCAGCTGAGCTCGTTGTCGTCGTCGTCGTCGTCGTCGTCGTCGTCGTCGTCGTCGTCGTCGTGCGCCCAGCTCAGCTCGTCGCCGCCCTCCGCTGCACCGCGCTGCTCGCGTGCTGGCAGGTGCTGCTGCGCATGGAGGCCGAGCAGCACGGCCCCCCCGCCGCCGCGGCCGCCGCGCCCAGCGGGCGGGAGCGCGCCGTGGCGCTGGCGCTGCGCGGGCTTCCGTCTGGACAGGCGCTTAATGTTGTTGGTTGTTTCGCAACGGGTTTGTTGGTCCGGTTGGGGGTATGGGTCTTGGTATTTTTGAGAGATATGGGTTTTGTTATGTTGCTGTTACGGTTGTGGTTGTTGTTGTTGTTGTTGTTGTTGTTGTTGTTGTTGTTGTTGTTGTGGTTGTGGTTGTGGTTGTTGTTGCTGTTGCTGGTGTTGCTGTTGCTGTTGCTGTTGCTGTTGCTGGTGGTGGTGGTGGTGCTGTTGTTGTTGTTGTTGTTGTTGTTGTTGTTGTTGTTGTTGTTGTTGTGGTTGTTGTTGTTGTTGTTGTTGTTATTGCTGCTGCTGTTGTTGTTGTTGTTGACGTTGTTGAATTCTCATGTCTGAAGAATAATTATTGTTGCCGGTGCATTTTTTCTCAATCAAAGTGTGCCCCTCGACGCTCGCACCCTTTTTTTGTCAGGGAAAGTCTTCCTGCTCAAACTGGGCCCCTGGCCCCCCGGATTACAACAACCACGGCTCCCGCCTGAGACTTCCTCCAAATTCACTCAGGACCCCCCGCTCCTGAGACTTCCTCACAATTTACTCAGGATCGGTGCTCCCGCCTGTGACTTCCTCGCAATTTAGTCAGGACCCCCGCTCCCATTTGAGACTTCCTCACAATTTACTCAGGAACGGCGCTCCCGCTTGAGACTTCCTTGCAATTGAGTGAAGGCTTCTTCGCAATTCAATCAAGACCCCCTCCCGCCAGAGAGCCCTTCACATTTTATTCAGGAATTGCGCTTTGGCCGGTGACTTCCATGCAACTTATTAGAAAGCATCGCGCTTTCGAAACTCAGGAAACACGCTGCGCTAAGGACGCCGTTGCAATTTACTTAGTAATCGCGCTCTCGCTATACTCAGGCATCCCGCTTGAATGTCCCACCCGCCCGACCCGCCCGTCAGGCGATTGCCCGCCCGTCGTGGGCTCCTGCCCGAGACTTGCTTCAGGAACGGCGCTTTCGCCTATGACTTCCTCGACTCTTACCTTCCTGCTCCTC